TATAGAAATGTGTTGCATGCCTTCACCCCGACTCTGAAAAGGAAAGCTACTTGTTGCTAAAAATCTGTTCTTACTCACAAGTCCGGCGCGTTGTGTTGGTTTTGATTTACCCAAGTGAAAATAAACTGTCTTCTTTACAGATCAGGTTTCATTGATTGGCTTAAAGTGTCACATTACCAAGTGAAGCCTATAATAATTGGGAAAAGAGGAAAGATAGTCCACTATTCCAGAGGGAAACATTTATTTAATAGTATACACGCATGGTAGGCTATGTAAAATGGGAGAAAAAGTGATTTATAATACGTAGTAAGATAAAAAAAATGACAAAACACTAATGAAAAATGAAATTCCTTGAGTGTTATTTAATTTTTAGGCATGTATATATATATATATATATATGTGTGTGTGTGTGTGTGTGTGTGTGTGTGTGTGTGTGTGTGTGTGAAAATATATAGAAAATAGGAAAGAACTCGTTCGGTAAATAATCCAAAGTTCTTTTATTTTTTGTTATTATTTTTAAAATAGTGTTCGATACAAAAGTAGAGCATAAATATAATTATTTATTTAAAAATATGATTCAACACACTACATAAGAGGTCTCATGTTTCAAAACAAGAGCCGAAAACTTCAATATAATTATTTGAATTAAATTGAATTAAAGTAAGCTCTGTTCGATCTTCAACAGAGCTTTTTTTGGAAAAAATTCAATTTAAAAAAATTTTGAAGTCTTCGGCTCTTGTTTTGAAACATGAGACCTCTTATGTAGCGTGTTGTAATCATATTTTTAAATAAATAATTATATATACATATATATATATATATATCTGTGTGTGAGTGTGTATGTGTGTGTGTGTGTGCGTGCGTGCGTGCGCGCGTGTGTGTGTGCGCGTATAGATAGATAGATAGATAGATAGATAGATAGATAGATAGATAGATAGATTTCTTATTTTAGGTCTATGTTGTCTTCATACACAGGGAATTATATATATATATATATATATATATATATATATAATTCCTATATATATATATATATATATATATATATATATATATATATATATATATATAATTCCCTGTGTATGAAGACAACATAGACCTAAAATAAGAAAATATATATATATATATATATATATATACGCACACACACACACACACACGCGCACACACACATATATTACTTGTGTTCATACTACTACAGGCCTATCTAGACGACTCACGTTACACCTACCCGACCATAGCTCAATTAGAACTCATTTAAACACACACGAAAACCTGCCAAACTCCACCTGACGCATACAAGTATAAAAGCTCCATACACACGTAAAAAAGATTAAAGATAATGGAAGTGCTAGTATTAAAAAAGGAAAAGCCAGCAGTCAATAAAATTAACTCCGAACACAGTAACAATTGGAAAGGTATGGGCAGGTGGTTTTTGTTTTATACTCTTGACCTGCTTAGGTGTAGTCGCCTTGGTTGATGGACAACTTCAGTTTTCTTTATACTTATAGTTAATCCGAATGCGTTGCAAGCAGTGGAAAAACGATTGACGAGTGTTTGAGCTTCTTTGATTGAGGTAACCACGATCGCAGCGTCATCAGCAAACAAAAGATCATGAATAATGTTTGCTCGAATCAGCGATTTCGCTTTAAAACGTTGATGGTTAAAGAGGCCGCCACTTGTGCGAAATTCAAATTTCACACCCATATCAAGATCACTAAAAACATGGCGTAGCATGGCCGAAAAGAAGAGAGCGAAAAGTACAGGAGCCATAACACAACCTTGTTTTGTGCCATTTGTTACATCGAACGCTTCCGAAATCTCTCCAATAGACAGAACAGATGCTTTAATTCCTTCGTGAAACGAGATGATGACATTTAGCATACTTGTCAAGTAAGCCAAGCTTTTTGAGTACTTTCCAGAGGGCACCTCTGTTTACACTGTTAAACGCTTTGGTCAAATCGATAAAAACGGCATAGAGTTCCTGGTTCTTCTTACTAACTTTCCCAGCAATCTGACGAAGTGCAAAAAATCATATCGATGGCTCCGCGGACAGATCGAAAGTCACACTGAGATTCGGGATAGATGTCGTCAATGAGATATTTGATTATTCTGTTGAGAATAACCCGAGTGAGAATTTTGCCAGCGATACTTAGAAATGAAACGCCACGGGAATTATCACATACAGTCTTTTTGCCTTTAAACATGTTTGATGCAAGCATCTTTGTATTCCCGTTAAACAGAATGAACCTTCCATATAACTTTAAAAAGCTCAAGGAGTTTCTTAACCAGCGTCTTCCCATCATATTTAAAGATTTCCGGCGGGAATAGCATCTTTTCCAGGGGGGACAATTGCTTGATAGAATCTTGGACTTCCTTTAGGCATGGCTCAAAAGACAACTGAGAAATTTCTGGTCGCTGATGAATTGAGGCAATGATGTTGCCATCGATGTCAGAGGTGGAATTTACACTTTGAAAATGTTCTTTCCATCGTGATATA